GTCAGAAACACAACAACTCGTCTGTGTTTGGCAGCTGAACTATTAAAAATTGAGATGACAGTGTTTCTCTAGCTCTGCTGCGGCTCATTCTTATTTACTTGACACACATTCAGAAAACTGTGGGGACTGGAGCACGCTGATTAGTTCACAGCTGAACAAATCACATATTACTGTCTGTGTCAGAGGGTGATGTCACAGTAGTGAATTAATCAGTCCTCTTCAGGTTTGCTGTTTCGTTTGGCTGCATTGGCCTGAAATGATCATTTTATCTCTCGTGAGATTTTAAAGTACATGTGAAGAACAGAGCTGGCTTGACTTGCTGTCTGGCATATTTGTTTATATGCCATTACTAGGCATGTAGTCTTGGCTTGTGACTGTTCTGGGTTCACCAGAAGAATCACGGCTGTGAGCAGTCTGGTGTCAGTATGTGCAGTGTGATGTTCGCATTAAACAAATATACTTTCATCCTCTCTTTTAGCTCTGTTCGGTTCATTTGCTTCATTTGTGTCTATGGCACATGGGTGGGTTTGTTACAGTTGTAAGTGGAGGGGGGCAAACGGTTCAGCTGATGTCCTCTCACTGCCCTGAACCCTGCCTGCTAGCCTCCCACCCACTGCCCCTTGGTAATGCATAAAAGAATTACAGCAGCCACTGTAAACAAAGAGTGCATTTGTAGTGCGGTTGATGGCTGGCTTTCTCTTGTTTTTTGCATTGACATTCATGCTTTTGTTACTAGCTGTTGTGTTCTTCTGTGAAACAGCGTGTATGTCTGCTGTTAGGGTAAACGTTTCACGCAGTTGTAACATAAAATAGACTTTGAGTCCTTGTTTTTGATTTTAACAGTGATGGTACAGCATTGAGCTGTTATTAAATTAAAAGAGATACAAAACATTGAATATGCTTGTACTGAAGAATTGATTGCTAACAATAATGGTTTTATTTTAAAAAAAGAAAATGTAAAGTACCAAATACCCTATACTGAGCCCAGCTGCTGTTAAGTAGGAACCCTAAATAGTGTTTTCCAAGAACCCTGCCCTTTACTATTAGCAAAGATTGGCAAAGTGAAAAAAGGTCCAAAGTCACTAAAGGAAAGCACAAGGTGTGTGGACTGCAGCGCTGTATAGTGGTTTCAAAATCACGTACCATGCTGCCCAATGTCTTTCTACAGAGAAATCACTTAATTTCTGACACAAAACAGGCTAAAATACAAAAATGTAACTGTAGAAAAACAAGAGAGAGACAGACTTACTCAGGCTGGTATGGCCGGATTTGGGCTCTCAGCACCTGGTATTCCCATCGGCTGTGTCCCATTCAAGTATTAGCCAGGCATTACCCCACTTACCTTCTGACATCGGAAAAGCTCGTACTGTGTTGGCTCTGCGACAGACTGGAAATATGTCCAGGTTGATACATTTGTAAGTGATGACACTTCTGATTTCTGATCCCCACAAAGGTGGAGAAGTCAACAAGCAGGGAGTTTTCCCCTCACACTCACGAGGTTTGCTCAATCACAATTTGGGGCAAAGTCATGCACTTTCTTTTATTTTCAGTTTATGCATGTTCAGCAATCTGCATTTTCCAACATGGTTTTGAGAGATTTTCAGACAGTCGGTGTAATTACGCTCTTTACCTCTTGGTCTATGAATACTGAATTCTATGAATGATGCATTTTTATTTTATTGTTTGTTTTTTAGATGGGCCCTGTGGTATTTCAAAAATGACAAGAGCAAAAGCTGGACAGAGAACTTGCGTCTCATTTCTAAATTTGACACAGTGGAAGATTTTTGGGCGTAAGTCAGTCTTGGTTATTGATGGTTTATTATTAATGTGCACAACATGTCCCTTAATGGTAATGTCAATCAGGATCAGCATGTTTCACTTTACTGATTGTTGTTTAATGACCATTGTTCTGATAAAAGCTTCTGAAATTCTACAATTCGACACACTCATGTTGGGAATCTACTTTTTCATCTTTCTACCAGATTATACAACCACATACAGCAGCCAAGTAAACTCGGCTTTGGCTGCGATTACTGCTTATTCAAGGTAAGGCTCTTTTTTTTTTTAATGTTAAATGTTTACACATTTTCCCTTAATCTCAGTTGCAGCAGAGTCTAAAGACATGGATAGGGTTTAATAGCTGCTTCATATTGTGCGTCAGGATGGGATCAAGCCCATGTGGGAGGACGACAGGAACAAGCTGGGGGGTCGATGGCTGATGACTCTCAACAAACAACAGAGGCACAATGACCTCGATCGCTACTGGATGGAAACGGTAAGACGGCTGTTTTCTGAAACCACTCAGTAGAGTCGTATCCATTGGATGTTTCCCCTGATGGTTGTGATTTAAATATAAATGTATATATGTATAGTTTGACTTTTTTTTTGCTTTTTGCAGCTGTTGTGTTTAGTCGGTGAGTCATTTGATGAGGCAAGTGAAGACGTCTGCGGAGCTGTGGTCAACGTCAGACCTAAAGGTGACAAAATATCCATCTGGACGAGCAACTGCCAAAACAGGGACGCCATCATGACGATAGGGTGAGCCTTTAAAGTCACATTACTCATAATACGCAAGTAGGAGCTACAGTGGACCACTAGATGGCAACACTGAGCTTGCTTGAGTCTTCACACTGCTTCCATCTCATCTCTTCGCAGGCAACTTTACAAAGAGCGTCTCAACCTCCCCATGAAAGCCATGATTGGCTACCAGTCGCACGACGACACGTCCAGTAAGAGCGGCTCCACCACCAAGAACATGTACTCCGTTTGAAAAAGCTCCTCATTTCAATTTGCTGTAGATTTAAACAATTGCCGATCTGCATCATCACATTAATTTTTGAGTTGTCAACTACTGTAGTGTCCTTTCCTTTTATTGCTAAGAGAGGTGTTCATAGCGTGTACAGCTGGAGCTTCTCCCAATTCAAGATGCCAGCGGAGCGGTTGTTTAAAGAAAAAGAAAAAAACGGGGAGGAAGGGTATCGGGCTTGAGATGTTGTACGACGAGTAAGAGAACACACGATGATTTACTTTTAGAGTTGAAGACTTCTGTGATTAATATCAGTGACCTCTCCTAGCTTAGCTGAGAACAAGCTTTTTTTTCCAATACTTAATGGCTTGAGTTGTTTAATTAAAAAAGAAAGACTTAACTATAGGGCCTTGTGTTTCTCTCATGCTGAGTTCTCACTCTTTACAAAAAGTGTTTCTCACCTCACAGGAAAAAGAAGGCAGGCAACTCGTCCTCATACAGAACAAATTTTAAGGGCAATTTTAACTTGATTTATCCACAAGTGTTGAGCATGAGCCGGGCTTTCAGACGCACCAGCTTAAATAATCTACAGTATCTTAAAGGTTTGTAAAAGCTGTGGTCACACTCCAAAGTGTAGGGTTTGGATTAAGGCCACTTGTTGTTTCAGCCATGCTGGAATTATGGGATATTGCTTGTAGGTTTTGCTTTGTTTTTTCCCCTCAACTTTTTTTCTCTTCCCTTTACATTTATTTATAATGTATGCATTGCAGTTACTTAGTTGAAAGACAACCATGAAGCTCGTGTTTTTTCAAATTGTTCTTTTTTTGTTATTAAGGTTAATAATGTGGACTACTGCATATAGATGACATTTTTTACAGTGTACCATACAGTAAAGATGCCGACAGAATTAGGTGTGCTTTTCACTGTTTTCTTCCTAACAAAAACTGTAGATAATGTCGCACTCCTCTCTTGGTTGTTGCAAAAGAAAGATGATATTCATTGTGAAATGATTTTGCTCATAATGTATCTTTATTATCTGTAATTCCAGGATGTATATTACCTTCTTTCAAGTAAAGTTTAAGTGCTTTGCATTAAAACCAGAAGCGTGTTGTTTTGTTTTGAGGTTTTTAAAGTTGGCAAACTTGCTTTCTTAAACACTAAGCTGATTTTTAAAATTCCGTTTTGACTACCATTTGTGGTATTTACCAACTCCTGGGAACAAAAATCTGACTTTTTAGTAAGTGCTATAGTGAGAAGCAGCTCGGGCTAATGTCATACTCATGAGGAAAAGTTAAAAGTGACCAAAAACTCACAAGATTTGCAGATTTGTTGAAAATGATGGAAACTGCCACAAAAAAAATGTAGCAGCAGTATATTCTGAGGAAGTTATTTTTCAGTTTCACACAGAGGAGAAATGTATGAAGTGATGCTGTGTTTTTGTCACAGCTGGATTCAAGTTGTTGGCTTTCTTTTTTGCGAGCAGAATCTACAGATACACCCAAACTGAAGAGCAGCTAAAATGACAGAATCTGGAAGACAGGGGGGGGGAAAAGTGCATGAAGCCATAAAAACACATTTCAGCTTTTCAAAAGAGATGGAAGCATATTTAACTTTTACATTCTAATGAAAGTTTAGAAAAATGCACATTTTTAAGTTTTTTATTTTTAATTTGAATAGAAAAATGTCAGAATACCTCTCAGCATTGTTAACATGTCTGGTCAGAAAATTTTCAAAATACCTTTTAGCTACTTTATAAACTTTGAAAAGTGACGATTCAACTATACACCTGTAAATGTTTCGATGCTCATCAGTGTCTGGGTCAACATTTTCCAACTATGTGCTGGCAACTGATCAAGAGTAGAATAAAACCATAGAAGCCACAGATGCATAAATGTGAAGCAAACAAACTGGTTCAAAATACTGTATTAATGTGGGACACAGAGGCATGAAACTATTCTTTCCTTTTTAACTTTACAATTTATAAATCACTACTCCGGCTTTTCCTCTAAAGCACACAGACACTGAAATACATCGAACAGACCACAGTGAAAATCTCTGGAATGGACAGGGTACTGACAACATCACCTTAAGTGTATGTAGCCAAGATTGCTTGTAATGTCCATTGGTGTATCGCTAGACCAGCTGCGGCTGATGACGCCTATTATTTTTTACTGTCGTTCAAGTTAATCATCCAGTCAAACAGGATCTTATAGCGTCATGGAGACTTTTATTGTTTAAAAGGGTGTAAATAAAAGTCCTCCACCCTTTTAGCTCCAAACGCAGATATGTTTATCAGCACGGTGGCATGACTTCCTTGTGTGAAAGTAATACATCCCAAAGGGTTATGGAAGAGCTGTTACCTAACACAAAACTTGATCTGTGAGGGGGTTCTTTTATTTTGTTTTTTTGTTTTTTTTTTTACAAATTTTTCATTACAAAAATGATTGCACAACAAAAATGTTCTGTAGATGGGGCATCTGCGTGAGATACAATCCAGCTGGTATGTTTGTTCGTTTGGTTCAATAAATATGGAAAAAAATTAGTAAAGAAGACCATCCAATCCAATCCATCCAAGAAAAGGAAAAAACAAAACACTATTGGTCCTTCAGCCACGATCCAGCCACTGTAGTAACAGATGTCCTTCTTGCAGCATCCTCACTTTCTGCATTGTTCAGCTGGATCCTGGCAGCCTTATATCAGGACATCGTCATAATCAAAGGCTTTACCTCATCTTGTTTGTTCAACAGATTCGAGAGCATATAGGACGAGAAGAAGAAAAATTCCACGGCGTAGCTGAGCTCAAACAGCTCCAGGTTCATACTCAGCATCCACTCAAAGACAGCAGACAGATGGATGTAGAAGTACTCGCTCTGAGCGAACAAGACAGTATCTGAAGGTTCTGGGTTAAGGGTGTTTCACTGGTCTACTGATGGTTAAAACTATGGAGGACATAGAGCTTACACATTTCTTTGACAAAAGAACATAGCTATATGAGGCGAAACTGTGTTTCTATCATTAATGTGGGCTAATTTGGGATTAAATACACTCTTATTGGATGAGCATGAATCAGCTGCATGGGCCAACTCTTCCTGGAGTTCTCCCACACCTGACTACTGTGTGCATACATCAGGGGCAGAGTTAGCACATAGTCATGGCAACCACAACTTAAATCTGCTCAACAATCTAGCCACCCTTTGCAACCAATGAGACACGTTTGACCTTTACTCATAGAACTGAAGTTACATTCAGTAACCATTCGTCTTTGGCTATTGTTCTCATACACACACACAGCACAGCAATCCGTTTTATTGTAAACCTCATGAATGTTGTCACATAAAAAAAGAAAGAATAACTTCCCCAACCACTGCAGACTGATATCAGCAACTAACCATACGTAAAAATATACAAGAAACCCATAAAAGTAAGTTATAAAAGTGAGGAAAGAAAAACTCTGCTACTCTGCACAGTCAATAGATTCTGTATTCCTGATGGTAAATAGTGCTCTTCTGTACTCAAAGAGCTTCATGCAACATGCCTCATTCACCCATTCACACAAACACCTTTTTCCTATGCTTAAATGCCTTGTAGCTAACATTCACACACATTCATACTCCCATGGATGCATCAGAGGGCAGCTTTTGCTTAGTATCTTGCCCAAGGGTAATTGACATGCAGGCTAGAGCAGCCAGGGATCGAACCACTAACCTTCCAGTCAGTTGATGACCTGCTCTACAGCCACCTCAATCACCGAATCTCTGCTAAATGCTAAATGAGGTGTCTAATGTTTCATTGCTGTGCATCTGATCCCATAGATCTACAAGGTTGAGGACAAATGTAAAGCTAGAAGGAAAAGGAAAGGAAAGCTATGGTTAATAATTCACTAAAAAAGGTCATTAATGTGTATCTGCTTCTGTCATGTGGACTTCTGTGGCCGGTCCCACTTGGTAAACACTGGAGCTGATCGGATCCAAATATGTCCCAGTGTGTTATAACTCATGCATTAGTTCTAGAGCTAGCTGCTGAAATCCCTTGTTTAAAGGAACACCAAATTAACCCATCAAAAGTTTACTATTAACCTGCGTGCTTAACCAGCCACAAGGTCGATGGGTATGGCTTAAGAAACAACAACAATAAAAATAAAAAATAAAGTTGGCTCCATGATTTGTGAAAGGATACAGATGACGGTCACAATTACTTGAATCACAGTGGAGATGATTCGCAGTGGGTAGAGAACCTTTTCATATCCAGAGAGGGCGCACTTCCCTGTCAGCACGGTGAGAATGGCCGTGTAGAAGCACGCGCACATGAAACTGATGGCAGCCCCGAGGTAGTGGAGGAGTGACACGTGAACCGGCTGTGGAGGACATTCACCATCAAATCCAGCGAATAATAGCAGGCTGTTTAAATCAAGACTAAGATTGCGAAAGGTGTTGGCATGTGAGCAGAGATGGGCAGTAACTGTAATCTGATTACTTTTTTCAAGTAACGAGTAAAGTAAGGGATTACTATTGCAAAAACGGTAATTAGATTACAGTTACTTTCCCGTAGGAACGCTGCGTTACTGC